CCCCAAAACCCCAAAACCCCAAAACCCCAAAACCCCGAGAGTACTTATATTAATTGAATCAATCCATTAATCATCAAGTTGGCATAATAATGCTGTACCTCTCTTTATCCAATGATCTGGAGGAAGTGAAGAGGGTAGTTCTATCATCAAAATGAAGTTAGTAGAGTGGCCTGTAGTGTTCAGAGTACCAGCACGTTCTGAAGTCTTGTAGAGAGGACATCTGTAATCTAAAGAGTCTGGGACATAATTCCTTGTTGGAATAATCTTGATAAATGGAGGTTCTGTATAGTTCTTCCCAAACTCAGCATCCTCTAACATCAAAGTTTCTGTATTTATCTTTCCGCATTCCAAGAATAAACCATAAATTATGTATTCTGTTTGAGTTCTATCAGCTGCCTGTTCATCTTCTTCATTTTCCATTAATTTGAAAGAGAAGCTTAGCTCATCAATAGGAATCTTAGATTTTCTAGCATGCTCTTGTAGGATAGCAGTCAAGAATCCCTGAGGGAAGAAGAAGCATGGCATCCAGAATTTATGAATCCTACCATGAGCAAGCCAAGATCTTATAAACTCGATTCTTTCACATAAGTTTTCTACCCAAGAGCCCAGTGGCTTGAGGGATGGATAAGCATACTCTGCCCATTTCTCAGGAACTTTATTAATAAGAATACAGCCGTACATTTGATCAAGTTCTTCGGACATAACAGCAAGTCCCTTAATAGCATCTCACATTTCATCAAGGGTCTTTCTCATGACAGCTACTAACTTATTAAATCTTTCCATTTCCTGGAGGAGATACGTAGTGAGGGAAGCATACAAGCCTTGCTTATTCGCTTTGAACAATTCTTTAGAAGCCCCATCTCTGGTCAAAGGATCTGGCAGACCTGTCTTGATCTTTTCAGCTATTGAGTCCACAAACTGATCGTTATCTTGGGAACTTGCGCTTCCCAAAGAGCTCATACTCTGGATTGAAAGCACAGTATTTAGAAGGTAATTACTCTCACTCGCTAAGCAAGCAATGTCTGCATTGTCATTCATTCCAAATATTTCTGGGCTGTCTTGATCTGGGAGGCTTTGAACATATTCAAGCATGCCCTCTATGTTTGAATCTGCTGGAGGGAGCTTGTAGATCCCTGACGGAGTGAAAGAGTATCCATCTTCCAGAATTGAGGGATTAATAAAAGTTTCTAAAATGCTCATCATTCACCTTCTATCCTGATCATCGGTGACCCTTCCTCCATAAATAATTTCTCCAGTAAGGTATTTAATGGCATCCCATGCTATTTCATCCTTTTCATCATTAAGCATATCTTTGATAATAGTTTGGGAAGCTTCAAAGTCACTTTCGTTGAAGTCGTAGATTATATTCCACCCAAGAGGACCGAACTTCTTCCTCTCGTGCATAATTGCATGGAAACATCAGATGCTAAATGCAAACTTCTTGAGCTCCTCGCCCTTCTTGCAGTCGTCGAAGAAATTATCTTTTATAGACCCGACGCTTCCAAGCAGGTTGGCCTTAATTCCTTTCGGGGGCTCAGATGTCACCTTGATGCTATTCTGGAGTACTGATATTGGGAAGTAATCGCAAGGCATTGAAGTTAGGTAAAGCCTGAAGTCTTTTTCGTGACCACCTTCGCTGATCTGGATCACCTCATTTTCAAGCACTGGCATAAAGGACTTGTAGAGATGACAATTCTGGAGCATGACCCAAGATCCGTCCTTCAAAGACTCTGAGATCTTTCTGAGTGCCACTTTATCCTGTCCCTGTCCGAGAGAAATTATATGAACGGCTTCTTGCCACTTTTCACCTTTGATTTCTTGTGCGAAAGTCATTATTTGGGATGTTGGGTCAGCGCCTTGAGTCAAAACAAAGGTAATTGGGGTCTTGTAATCAGAGTCTCAGTAAACATCTGCCATCGTAGTTGGCTTCATTGTGCTAAATTCTTTGCCAAGTTTCTTTTCAACAAATTCTCTTCAAAGATGCGATAGCCTTTCCGGCTTCAGGGCTTTGAAAATAAGCATTCTTTGGAATAAAGTCAATCTATCATCAAGTCCTCCTGGGAATGGCAACTTGGTTGGGCTGTTTGTGGTTTGGACCCATTGTTTCCACTGCGAGATATTGCGTTCAAAATGCTCGGGAAGTTCAGCAAAATTCTCGTGTACAAGCTCAAGGTTCTGAATGAATGTCCATTGCTTTTCATCAATAAGCTCTGGATCCGGATTATCTGACTTCTTCTCTGACTTATCCACAACAACTCCCTTCAACATGATGTCCCATTCTGCGGCACATATCTCATCGTTGCTTTTGCAGATTTGGTATGCGATCAAGAAGGAGAATATTAGTTTATGGGTGTTGAAGAGCCCTCTACAGATGTTGGTGTACACTAATCTTGTGATGGTCTTCATCAAAATGCCCACTCTCTTGTCGATCTCCTCTGAAGGCTCTGAGTTTATTATGATCTGCTTGAATAGTTTGGTGAAATAGTTGAGGGAGTACTGATACATCGGGTCTATTCCTGCTAAACTGGCAATTATGAAGAATAGGTGGCATCCTCTATCAGCAACTTGCGAATATTGGCTTCTGGCTTGCTCGATCTCAATCTGAGCTTCCTTGTTATCTAGTAAATTTTTCGAAATTTCATCAGATGTGATTTTTGACTGGTCAAGGTTGGCAACAAGGTCCTCATCATCAAGGATATTTTCGCTACTGTTAGCCAGACTCTTGAGAATGTCATCTTCTAGTTTCTTAATCCTTTTCTGGTCGTTAGCGATAATTTCGGTAAGCTCGTTATTTCCTCTTTTCAACATCTTCATTCTCGATCTTCACAATTTCGGCTAGCAGTTGTTGGGAAAGACCCATTTCGGTTACTGTGAAGTTTATGACAGTCACTCTGATGAAGGTTTCAGGGAGGAAATGAGGATTTGCCAGGAATGTAACGAAGTAGATCTTGAAGTTAGGATCATAATCTATCATCTTGTCCCCAATTTTTATCTGTCTTCTTGTTCCAGCTGCTGCAGCCTCGCCGCTCAAAACTGGTTCGAATAATGGGTCAATTGTTTCCTGAATATCTTCTATGATCAACTCGTACCCCATTTTTATAGAGGTCTCTAAAGTCCTCAAAATATTAGGATCTGAAATTCTGACTATCTGAATATCATGCTCTCTGTTGCTAACATTCTTAAGCCATGTGCTTCCTTGCAGCTGAGGATCGATCATCAGCGGCTTCCTGATTCCTTTCTCTATCATGATTGCATTGCAAATGGACACACTATCAGCAGGCAGTTTATCGATTTGCCAGTCCATGATCTTCATCGGATCTCCCATGGTATTCTCTAGCTCAAAAGTTTCGCTTGACTCAATTCCTCATTCTTTGCATCTCTCGAGCCAACTCTCAGCCAATATTTTTCTGTAGACTCCTGTGAAGGGCCCATAGTAAGAGATACAAGCTGCAGAAATAAATACATCCCCGGTGAGCTGCTTGATTTTAGACTCAAGCATGCCTATGTTTTCTCCCCAACGCCTGTGCTCATCAGCAAGTCCGGATGTCAACTTCTCTGCTCTCAGAAGTCTTAACTGAGTCAGATCGATTTCTTTGTCAAGCTTGTCTTTATCTGCTTTTCACTCATTCATTGTCTTTTTAAGGTTTTCAAGCTTCTGCAGCTCAATATTTAGATTCTCCTGTTTCTCCTTAACTTCAGCATCTGCTTTGTTGAACTTTTCATTCATAACAGCCAGGTGCTCCCTCAGAGGTTCAATCTTCTGTACAACGTGTGTGTAAGTCTGGATTGCTCTTGCCCACTCTCACAAAGATTTTCCAGCCTTGTTCGACTCTTGAACAATCTCCGGTTTGAAGTTCGGATGTTTGGAAATAAATTTATCTAGTGCAGCAACCACTTTGGGAGGTATCTTATCTTTGTCATAAGCTTTAAGTTTTCCAAAGAAGTTTGAAGCGAGCATTTTCTTTATATCTGCCCAAGTGATCTTATCGAAGTTGGTTCTTTCTTCAAGCAAAATAGCAACTGCTTTGAATGTCATCTCAACGTTTGGAACAGGCTCTTTTACGACCTTGAGTTCTGCAATATGGGATTGATTTAGAGTATTGACGGCTTTCTGAGCATTCTCGAGAGCAGGGATCGCTTCGTCTAGACTGTCTTGTGCTTCCCTTTGTAGCATTCTAATTTCGTTGGCTTGTGTTTCAACCTCTCTCGCCTCCTCCTCGACTACCATCTTTGTCTTATAAGCTTCAACCTTATCTTTTTCTAAATTCTTGCTCAGTTCTTCGAGTTTGATCACATTTTTCTCAAGGGTGGGTTTTAACTTCTGCAGCTCTTCTTGCAAAGTTGCAACTTCTTTGTTAGTTTCAACCAATTTCTGCAGACCACTCGCCAAGGTGTCTCTTCTGCCACTGAGTTCGTGATTCTTCTCCTTCAGATATTTCGAGTAGCTAAGGATAAAGTCAAGGTAGCTCTTGGGGGTGACATAAACTCTTCTCTTTAAAGAATTAAAGAACTCTTCAGATACTTTTTCAACTTTCGAATGCACAAAAACTCAAGCTTTCGATAGAGCGTCCCTCGCTTCATCATCCTGGAGTTCAGGGATACTTTCGAGGAATCTCTTAGAAATACTTAGCAAAGCCTCCTCAGGCCAGGTGTCAAACCAATCGATGGTGCAGCAGTTCACCAGGGATGGGAACATTCTAATTCTGGTTCTGAGCGCCTCTCCTACAGGCGAGAGTCACAAAATAATGTGCATATTATCTCTGACTCTTTGTATAAACAGGTTGGTGAGTCCTTCATTAATACCTAGCTTCTTGCCTACTTCTCTCATTTCTCTGTTGATTTCGTCTTTGTCTTCGCTTTCCCAGAGGTTTGGAATTTCTCCCGAGTTCAGTAAGCTATTTATATCTTCCAAGAAAATTTCATTTGTGATTTGATTGTCAGTAATAATGAGAGATATCTTCTTTCCTTCCAACCCAGCAGGCTTTATCGAGTCTTGTGCTACATCTTCTCTGAAGTTCTTCTGAGTGTAATTCTTTTTAGACCCTAATGAAGATATCTGGCATCCGGTAATGTAAGACGCCATTTTTGTGAGTGTTTGCTTGCCACATCCTCCAACTCCAATTAACAATACACTTCCTCTCGGCTGAGATAAGATTCGGCTGATTCTGCAAATATGCTGGCATGCCTCTCTGAAAAGAACTAGATCAAGGTTTTGATTAAGATCAATGTTGTATTCAGCCATATAATCGCCAAGGCACTTCAGCAACTTCTCATAGTCATTAATATTTTCGTAGAGCCGATCTTCGATGGAAAGAACTCTATTCATAAAGTCTCCAAACAGAATTTCATTCTCTCCGCTAATTTCTGAGCTCAGGTCAACTCTAAAGACTTTGCGTGTGAGCTCTGTAAGATATTCCTTAAACCAATCTCTATCTTCATCATTTGTCATTCTGTCGTGGAACACTCTGAAAGCCTCGTGGACCCACAATTTGGCCATTCCCTCAGGAGCATTTACTTTCTGAGGCTTTACCATGCATATTCCTTGGATCACCTTCGAAATATCTCTCAAATTGAAAGTGTAGTGGCTTTTGGCAGGAGTAGGCTTTAGCTCTTTGGTCACTTCATTATAGACTGCAATTGATCCTTCTACAATGTTTGAACTGAGGAACTTTATCTCAGATTTGAATCCCTCCTCTCTGATGAATCCGTCAACAATGCTTTTAAAAATGTGCTGGAGAGATTCCTCTGATGTTTTGGGCAAACAGATCATGTGCAAATGCCTTGTGAATCGCATGCTCAGAGCCTTCCTGCCTCCTCCGGGTGGAGCTGCTGCACATATGGTGGTGGTTCCTTCAATGTCCTTCCAGTATAGCTGCTTGTCATACACTCCTCTAAGCTCTAAGAACTGCCTGAGGAGCTCAATGGGCATTTGGGATCCATATTCATCAGTATCAGGCATATTGACGTCGTCAATAAAGATAGCAACCTTTCTTCCGCCCGGACCAGAGAGGAGCGTTTTCCTTCTCTTCTCAAGCTTCTCTTCAATTTGCATCTGAACTTGACTAGATTTGGTCTGCGATGAAAAAGCCAGGAAAATCTCTTCATATGGCATTTTCTCCTTTATTTCCTCAATAGCGCTATTGATTATTATCGATTTTCCGACTCCTGTTACTCCGGTGAAGAAGAGAGGGAAGCTGTTTTTCAGGCACTCTTTGACAAACCATGAGAATCTCACAGTATCCTTTGTTGGGACAACGAGGTTAAAATAGTTCTTTTCGCTGCTATATTCAAACGGAATTTTAGGCCAAGCCTCAAATTTCACAGGCTCTTTTTCCTCCCCTTCTGCTACAAGGCAAGAGTCATAGATAGACCCTTTAGGCAAATCATTCATGTTAAACTCTGTCATAAGATAGCTCTCAAATCTTGGCTGGAATTTACTATCTATCGATGCTCCCAAAGACCATGTGAGGGAGAAAACAAATATTCTTGTGATCACTTTCTTCATCTCTGCCTCATCAAGCTTCACCAGGTCGATAGGCAAGCTGCCAGAAGTTAAAATAATGATCAATCTCTCCATTGACTGGACAAGATTATTGGGAACAGTCTTGATAGGTTCCTCAAAAGCATATTTCTCAAAGAGTTCTAAAACTCCTTCGAGCCTATTTTCAAATAAGCCTCTGAGCATATCTCTAATCTTATCATTATATCTTTCCCCTTTGAGATCTCTATTTATCCATTCATAAACTCCAAGATGCCATCCACACGCCTCAGGAGGAACATAGATCATTCCGCATCTTGAAACAGTGGCTGGTGATGCCATTTCTAGATTATCACACTCGAATATCATTTTCATCTCTGGCTTAAGCTTCACCCTCTCACCATTAGAGAGACACAGCGTCATGTTATCATCAAGGACTGTGTTCATATTCTCTATCCAGCCTGCGTCAACAGGACCGTCAAAGACCATCCACTTCATAGACCTCTTCGTGCTATCAACAAAGCCACGGATAATGGATGAAGCGAGACCATCAGTCCACTCTTGGGTCAAATGGGAAAACTCTCCATAAAGCTCATTGATAGAAATACTTTTTGGATTAAGCACTTCTTTCTCAATTTCAGGATACTCTTCTGGTTGGTCCTCTGGGATCTCCTCCTCGGAGTCCTCTCTTTTGGCGACTTCTTGTCGATGGAGCCGGTTGAGAGCTCCATGCAAGCTTTCATAAATTATAGTTTTTCCATTCATTGCGTCTCCTACAATCATGCATCCAAACCTCACTTTGAGAGTCTCATAAAATTGGAGGATCTTGCCGAATTGTTTCTCATCAACAGCTAAATAATTTTCATTGCAGTGCTGCTTTAGAGAGTCCAAAAGCTTTTCGTATGATACCTGAGGAAGCTCGAGCCCCGGGAATAAATCCATAACGATTGCGTCGAAAAGAGGAATGTCATCTTTAAGGAATTTCGGGATGTTTGAATCTCTCATTGCTCTAATCAAAATCTTATCTTCAGAGGATTCGGGGCTCCCTCTTTTGAGCTGGCCAGCCATTACTAATACACTCTTCACAGCTCTCATTCCGAAATCGTAGTGCTTCTGCTGGGATAACTGCTCAGATGCCAGCTTATATAGCTTTGTCATTTTCATCGAGAGAGGTTTGGCATTTGAGAAACCTTCTGAGAAAAGCATGATTTCTGCAATTAAAGCATAATCTGGAATCATCATTGATACTGGTCTAAAGAGAACTTTAAGATTGTCAGGAAGCTCAGTTCTTCCTTTATATCCAGGATTCATTGTTACAAACACTCCCATTTCTGGATTTAAGTCTATAACCTTTTCATCAAAGAAAAATGTTTCCCGATTTGAGAGCATTGCATTTCTTATTGTAATCAGTTGCTGGGCAATAACCGAGAGTACTTCGATGAGGATTCTGTTGAATTCATCTAAGCACGTCCAAGACCCTGTATATGACAGTCCAGCAAAGAGCTTGGCCATCATTTTATAGTTTACCTGATCAGAACAGTTAAACACTACACAAAATTTGCCGAGCCCTTTAGCTAGATCTTTCGTACTTTCTGTTTTGCCAGTTCCAGCCGGGCCTGCAGGAGCAGCCCCGAGCTTAATACTCAAGGCGCTGGTGATGGTCATCCAACACCGATCTGTTAGCGGGGTGATGACGAGCCTTGTTGTAGCCCCTAAATATTCATATCCATAGTTAATCTTAGAGTTGAGCTGGTGGATCTGAACATAGTTATTATCAATCATATAGTATCTGAGCTGTTGCTGCCATACGAAATCGTCGATAGTTGCATATTCTTCTTTAATACTTGCAATAATGTCTCTGTAATGCACATCCTGAGTCATAAGTCAAATTACGGTTTTTCTCTGAATGTTGGATAATTTCCCTCTGACAATCTCGGTCAAAATCTTTAATCCTTCTTTTATGGCTATGAACCAAGACTCTATCAACTCGGGAGATTCTTCGAGAAGTACATCTTCTGTGGTGCTACACCACACAATGGAGTCAACTGTGATGGCAGCTTGCAGGATATTATCTTTTAGTTCGTTAAGCTTATCTCTCTCATCTCTTTCATCCCCTGTATATGTTGTATATAAATTCCTAATGGTTCTTTTGACTGTTTCTCCACATGAGTCTTCGAGCTCTTTTAGCCACTTCTCGACCGCTTCTTTTGCTCTCGGTAGTTTTAGAAGTGGAAGCTCTTCTTTTTCAGCTGATTCGACCTTTATGATTGTCTCGTGTGCAGCTCCTTCTCCGAATATGATCCTGTTTACATTCTCGAAGAGTTTCCTCAGATGAGGCTGAACTGTCTCAGGGTTTCTGCTGGCCTCAGCCAATATGAGTAAGAGCTCATTGTTCGATAGAAAGAAGAATCTAGAGAACGCTTGCCTCTTCCCTTCCAAATAATTATTCAGAGCTTTCTGTATCTCATCAAGCGTTTTGTTGTGAGCTTTAAAAATCTCAAGTTTATCATCTCTTACTGAGCTGAAGATTCTTGTGCACTGAGGATATGTGCTTACTTCCTTCATTATATGCTTCCAAGATTGGTCGAGCTGACCAAATTTCTTTGTTTCAGCAGGGAGACTCTTTGAAATATCTGGAGATCGGAAAATACTCTCGAGATAAGTCCATCCTTTTTGTCACTCCATCCACTCATCAATGAGCTCTTCGAGATATGACAGCTTCTTGTTAAACTGTTCTACCGGCTTCCGAATTGTGTCTGCAAATCTTGAGGTTAGGATAGTGCTCAATGAGACTAGAGACTCTTCAAGCACCTCAGTTACTTCTTCAGTTGACGATAAGACATAGTAGTCTTTTGATTCTTTATATGGAGTTATGTCAAAATTGATCGGTTTCCAGTCTTCTATCACTTTTTCAAATAGATTCTCCAATTCTTGCTCCTTGTTGGCTTTCAGAGCAATTTCAGCTATTTCTTCACACGATTCTTGGCTCAGCTTCATATCGATAAGGGATTTCAGAGTAAACTCTTCACTTTCTGGGTCAATTTCTTGCCCGTTGAGGATTTCGTTAATTTCAACCCAGTGTCTTGGCTTGAGTGCTTCGTCTCTCAGTCAGCTAACAATAGGCACAGTATTCTTCATCAAGTCCACCTCGACTTTGAATTTCTCAGCAGCACTGCTGCTTCCTAGAGAAAGCATGCATTGCTGAGATGCCTTTACAACTTCACTTAGTTTTTCTTCAATATCCTCCACATTGATCTCTTTTAATGGAATTCCGAGCCAGTCTTGATAATATTCTTTCATTTTCTTTTTGCCGTACCAAAGTTTCTTGAGGACAGAAAAGTCGTTAAAGAGAACATCTATGCTCTCGAAGTATACCTCGTTCACTTCCAAAAATCTTTGCTGTGAGTTAACAGTTTTTCCTTTTTCTTGTATCGAGACAACTTCTTTCTCCAGAAAATCTACCATTTCAATTCCGTCTTTGATCGGAGTGGACTCTTTAATCAGTGTTTCATCTTTGAGTTCTTCTCTGCAGGCTGCTATTCTCTTTTCTAGCTTGGGAACTTCTCTGTCCAGCTCCTTTTTAAATCTGATCTCATTGGCCTCCCCTGACTCTCTCCCTTCTTCCAGCTTATTCCTGGCGCTCTTGAGAGCTGAATGAGTGTCTTTGAACTTGGCTCTGTTCTTCTCAGGGATCTTAATGTGGAAGTTTTCCATGACAATGTGTAGCTGCTCAACTCCTTGGAATCTGTCGGTGTAGTCATCAATCGATGATTCCATGCTCCAAATGTACTTCATGATCTCCACGAATTCATTGATATTGGTAGGAATCCTCGACAGAAGCAGATTGGCCTCATCCAACTCTTCGCACAGAGTGTTCAGTCTGTTGAAGCTAAGCTTTGGAAGATAGTCGCTGATGGCAACCAGACATTTCTCTGGAGAAGGCTTGATTTCACTGATGAGTTTGAGGAGGTTGACTCTGTAAATAAGAATGTCGTGCGGACTAGTGATTTCCATGATAGCGTCTCTTTGCCTATGGTGCTCTTCAATCGCGCTCTTAAACGCCTCGTGGTCGGGGTAATCTTTGCAATTAGTCTTAATATTCTTTAAGTGAAAGTCGATGTAAGACTGGTACTGCTTGGCATATTCAGTCACTTGGCTGAAGGAGGTTTCGATTTCGTCATAGATCTTCTTACAGTTTGTATTTATTGTATCTGAGGAAATAGCCAAGTTTATCAGATCGTTGAACTCCCCAGAAACCTTACTCTCAAAGTCGTGGTTGTTGTAGATCTTATTGATAAAGTCAAGTGTTTGCAAGAACTGTTCGTTTGTACAGACTAGTTGAATTCCTTCTGATATTGCATTCTTGATAGCCTCTCTGAGATCGTACATTGATGGAGTGTAAAGCAAGTTGTATCCGTCATATCTGAAATCCGAGAAAGAGCAATCTATTTCAAAAAGAGGTCACGATTGCATCTTGCTTCTTATAATGACTTTCCTGTTATTGCTGAGATCCTCTTGGACTACTTCAAGAGCGTGTGAAACAGAGTTCTCGATTAGGCTGAGTTTTGATTCCATGATTATGTAGTCAACAAGTCTTACATATTTGATTAGCCTTGAATAATGAGTGCGCTTTGTAGCTTCTTGAGCATAGAGCATTGGCTTTTCAGTCTCATCTCCAAATAAGAAAGGTTTATTTTCTTCGTCATCAACTTCTACCTTTTCGTTTAGATTAATTCTGTTTACTTCTTTGAATGTTTTCATCGATTTTTCTCAAGATTCTTCTAGTTTGTCTTTAATTTCACTGCATGATCTATTTAAATTTTCTCTCAGCCATTTCCTATGATCTTTCTGCTCAGTTTTAAACTGGTCTAAACTCCTTGCAATATCAGAAGACATTTTCACAATATCTAAATTTGACATATAAAGTGCAGTCTCTCTTATTGAAAGTAATGGCCTGGATAATTCTTGATCTAAAATAAACAATTCATTGCTTAGTGTTTCACTAGTTTTAAATATTCTAGTTCTCTTCATTTTCGTCTTCCAAGCTGAGAATGATTTCCACAGAAAGTATTGTTTGAAAAATCTAATCTCCTTTAGTTTTTGGAACAAAATCTTCTCTCTTTCCCATTCTGGAATAGTCAAGAATGTTGCTTCGTTGTTTGAATTGAAGTGCACAATACCACTGGCACTCACAGTCATATATTCTTGGTTTTGTGACTCGTCTCTTTCTTTACCTAGTTTCAATTTTTCAAAAGGAACGATACGAAAATCATAAAAGTCTCCTTCTCTATAACAATAGCAGAACCTGTTGGCAAATTCTGGGTCTCGATCACATCAAGCAATAAAATCAAGTGGAGTGAGATAATCTTTGTCACTCATTTTGTTCTCTAAGTCTAGTTTACTCAGCGATCCTCCAAACTCTCTATTAAACACAATAGGAGCTGCCTCACTATCCTCGATTTCAGGTTTTAGAGGAGTATGCTCAAGTGGTTGAAGTTGAGTTACACTCCTCCTAGGAGCATCTAGCATCTTTCTATATGCTAAATCTTGTTCTTTCTTTAGCAAAGAGAGTGATTTTATACCCTCTCCTAAGCCATACTTTTCAATTGTATCCAATTTGTTCTCAATTTTAGTGGTCTTTGCTAGATCAAGAGGAGCTTTCAATAAAGTTCCTCCATGACTTGGTGAAGGAGCTAGAGTTCGCATTAACGAAACATCAGGCTTCTCTACAGCAAAAGATTTATGAGAAGGAGTCTTTGATAATGTAGGTAGCTTTCCTCCTTTGAACTCCTCTGCATTAATAGTTTGTGTGAGATGGGCTTTTTCTAAACCACTGAATCTTTCAAATCCTTTTGGAAAATGAAGTGCAGGATATTTAGTCTTCTCTTCAGCTGGAAGTTTGGAAATCTCTGGTAATTTAGAGTTTTTGTTCCTCTTTGCTCTTAATTTCTTGAAGCTTTTTTGCTTTGTTGGGATAATCTGCCCTGTATCTGAGTACTTTGAATATAATCTTTGAGCAAGTCGGTCCGACATATTAACCTAAGATAAAAATTTTATTTATTCTATAATAATTTCATTTTTTTAAAGTTATTACGGGGTTTTGGGGTTTTGGGGTTTTGGGG